AAGCACATCATCGTAATTTGTTTCTGTTTTAAAAGATATTGGCTTTTATAATAGACTTTAACCTGTTTTTTTTAAAAGATATCAGCTTTTATCATAGATTGTAATCTGTCTCTTTTTACCTAAGCTGGAAGTTTCTACAAATGACTAATTGCATTGTTACCATTTGTCTGGCGCAGATAACCTTGAAAGGTTTTGTGCCAAATTACAATAATCCAATCCAATCCTACCTTTCCTTCTATTTTTTATCCATCGGTAAATGCTTTTGAAATTTACTGATATTTATAGACTTTTTTAAGTAAATTTTGATATAAGGTGAATCTGCAGAGTGTCAACAATATAGAACTGGAATCCAAATAACCTACATAATACTTTTAATCAATTATTTCCTTTCAATTGACAATTCTTGAATTTTAATGAATATTTTCATAAAAATGGACTAATTAATTTTACATAACAATTTTATTAAAATTCTTTACTTTTATCAATTTTCACAATTTTTTTACCTAGGACGTAATTCAAAAACTACTTAATAAATACACCCATGCATCTATCTATCTTTATATATAGAGAGAGAGACAGAGAGTCATTGAAGCCGACTGAATATATTTCTTAACGAGCATGAATGATCAAACAAATTTCATGTTTTGAGGAGCACTTTCTTAATAGAAACTACGAAGCGTAATTGCTGCAGTCTGTGCGCCTGCTCTTGATGACATTTGTGCCATTTTATATTTCAAAACAATTCATTTAGATGGAGAAATAAGTAGAAAATAGCAAGCGAATTGCTAGGAAAGACGCGAAAGGCAGAATGCAATATATCCAAGGTGAAAGTTCGGTTCGGAATGATATAGTTTTAGTTCAGTTATTGGTTAAGTTTCGGTTTTCAAATTTGAAACTATGTTTGGTTGAAACGTATGTGCCTGAGTGAAGCGTTATGTAAGAATCATAAGACAGCCATTAATTTTTGAATGGCGTAATTTAGAGCGATTTATTTATTATAAGCAGTTTTTTTTTTCAGAACAAAAATGAGAAATAACAGGAGATCACAAGCGCTTATGACTTTCCCTCCGCTTGTAGTTTAACTTACCGCTAAAATACATTGCAGATGCTTTGCGGTAAAGCATTCCATGTTGCGCTCGGCTGCGTACACAGTGGTGTTGTTAATTAGCTTTTGATATAAATATAATTTTAATTAAAATATTCTAATTTTTAATGTAATAGAAAAATTAAAAGAATTTTGCGAATTTCGAGGTGTTAAATACAGAAAGACGCACAGTCACACAATCCGGTAAAATTTATAAATCTACTATCTAATTTTGAAAGACAACAAATTTTTCTTTCTTTCACAGTGGGGAATTTCTCGCCCCCCAAAATTGGAAATGCGTTTAATTGCAACATGATTAGCTTAGATTACATTCATTGAATTGTATTATTTGTTGACGGCGGCCTTCAAATATTTCCAGGAATTGTGTCATTAGTTTGGAGGAGTTGAAATTTCGGCTATTTAAATAGCTTTGAAGTACAAGGAACTGAATGTAGAATCAGAAGCTAGATGGGACAAAAAATTGTTCCCCTAAGAATTGCAGACAAAATCTTTATTTTTAAATGAAGTTAGTCACCGGACCTGAATACCCTACAGCATGTCTGGGACATGTTGGGACAATGGATAGCAGGCATCCTTCACGAGCGCCGACATGCGTTAGTACAGCAATGGCTGCTATTGCCACAAGCGATCAAGGACATTATTGCCACTTTGCCTCACCGCTGTCAAGCATACATTTCAGCATACATATTATTAGAGTGATGTTTCCATTGTATATTCTTCCGACCCATTTAGTCTTTCGCAATGTGAAGGTCGTAATACATGTGTTTTTGTATATCTTTGTTTTATCGTTTGCTGTGTGATCTAGAAAAGTCACACCAGCTTCTTGAATTAACTTCATGCTTGTCTATTAAATAGTTTTTGTTTTATTCCACGTTTCACCTTTGTTCCATTTTTAGGAGTGTACGTAAATAAAGAAGATTCCGAAAAATTACTTTAATTTTTATGAGAAGTAATAATGAGAATCTTATCTGAATTTTCATAATAAATCCATTTTTTAATTAGAAATATTAATAAAATTCTCCGAGATAGCGGTCTTTCTAAATTAATATCAAACAGGGATTTTGAATTTAAGCGGCCAGAGCTATTGAGCTTTACTTGCAGAATCAGGTCTTGTCGAAAGAAGCAGGTTTTATTTTTATTTTATTTATTTATTTATTTTGGTAACTTTTTCATGAGGCTTCAGTGACAAAAATAATTTTGTAAGAATTAAAAATAATACCAAGTGAAGCAAACAATCAGGTTAAAGAAGATTCTGCAAAATTATTTTAATTTTCATGAGAAGTGATACTGAGAAACTTATCTGAATTTTAATAAGAAATCGATTGTTTTTATTAGAAATTCTAGTAAAAGTCTGAAAGATAGAGGTCCTTCTAAATTAATATCAAACAGGGATTTTGAAGTTTAACGGCCATAGATATTGAATTTTAATAGCAGAATTAGCTCTTGTAGAAAAGAGCAGTTTTTTTGCAAACATTTGATGGGGCAAACCTTTTGATGAGGCTTCAGGGACGAAAATAATCTTGTTAGACTTAAAAATAATGCTAAGAGAAGCAAAAAAAGTCAGATTAAAAAATACACCGTAAAGCCACATTGGATAATGTTAATGTAATGAATAGCATTAGTATTGAAAATGTCTGAAACAGAATGTAAAAGAGTGACAAAGTGAATATATAATACATGTTCTATGAAAATCTGAGGAATTTTTTTAATGGCTTGCACTTGCCTGTAACGGCATTAGCCAGCACTAAGGCCAGAAATGGTGGCCATTTTATTGTGAGGCACCTAATAGGCAGCCACCGCTACCATCCTATGAAGGTACAGACAATTTTACACTCCCGGGATTCGTACCCAGGCCCTTTGGTATTACAGTCAGACTTATTTAACCACTATACCGTCTGGGCGGCAATCTGAGGATGCTGGCAGTAGTTTGCTACTATCAACAGCGACAGCTGAAAAACTTGTTACGCAAGGAAAATTCTTTTAAGCGAAAACAAAATTAATACTCCCTTTATTGCCTTAGTTGATTGAAATATTATGAGCTTCCATTAAAACGATAGAATATGCACCGAACAGCCATTACATTATGACCACCCTCCACCTATAACAATGGACTCGCCCAGGAACAAAACCACGGCGCGTACGCGGCTGATGTTTAGAGTATATAAAGCGTTCAAGCATTGTATTTCCAAACACTCCACTTTAGCTATGCTGCACCGCACAGCTCAAGCATTTCTACACTTCCAGCGTTCGTAGCAGCATCTCATGGCTGCCGAAACACAACATGCACACTTGCATGCTAATCGCGGCATAAAGAGGAACTTGCAACTCTTTCCAAACATAGAGGGATTAGCGACATAATGGGAAAAGCAGCTGATTTATCAGACTTCGATACAGGTCAAATCGTTATGGCTCGGCAACTGAGAACATCAATATCAAAAACGGTGCGTTTATTGGGTTGTTCACGTGCAGTTGTTGTTAGCACATATCGAAAGTAGTGTATGGATGGTGAAACGACAAGAATTCTGGAAAACCAAATTCATGCTGCCACGTTACCCAGTCGCAATGTGCGGGAATTGCAGTCTCAGTTGGTGCAAGATACCTCAAACTACCTATCAGCACCTTGTGGGGTCAATACCACTCCGGGTGCTGGCAGTTTTGAAAGCTAAAGATAGCCCTACATATTATTAACAGGTTGGTCATAATGCAATGGCTCATCGGTGTATGATCATTCAAAAATGCGAAAAGTAAAACTGAAGCGAATATGTATTTATTTGAGGATAAACATTTCATTTTATAACTTTTAATATATTTTAACTGACTTATTTTATTTTACTCGGTTTTATTTTATTTGACATGTCGTTGCTTAGCCGAGACAAAAAGGATTTATTGAAGAGTATTTTGTAACCATTTGCTTTCTTCTTAATGTTTACATGTTCCAATTCGAATTTAAGTTATTAAAAAGATATTTTGCTTCTCTTCTAAGATTTTTTTCAACAGTATATTTTCGTTTTTATACTTACGTTACTCGCTTCTATTTAAATTAGGTAAATGAGAATTAAGTTTTGGAAAGAAATCAGAGCAGGTTGATTAGAAATAAAGCATTCATAAGTATCTGTAAGAAGCAGTAGAAACATAGATTAGCAGCAAGGAACATGCGGAAAGAACTATACAAAAAGATCACTGGGTTAAAAGAAAATAAAGAGAAATCGTTACCTGCTGCGTAAAAGAGGAAAGCCCGAAAGAAGTATGTTCCTTTTTAATCCAAATAGTATTTAAAGCTTTCCATAATTTTCCTGTTCTTTAATACTTTGGCAAATCTTTTATCAGCGCTCATTAAGAAAGTACTAATCCTTAACTCTTGGGAATCAGATTAACTGTCAATCCGATTCTTTACACCATAAGCTTGCTGCAGACTTATTTCTCATCATCTTAATTTTCGATGTGACATTTTTTAGAAAAATAGGTCATACTTATTTCGTCAGCTAGAAAATCAATTAATAGCTTTTATTTGCAAAAGTATAAATTGATATTCTAAGATATTGGCAATTTTTGATTGGTTTTAGGAATAAAACAAATATTTATTTATCAAGCATTGGACAGTTAATGTTAGACATGTGGCTGTAATAGAATACACAGATGAGTTTAAATAAATTTGTAAAAGGAGTTCTGTATTCTCTAAAGTATTTAACCCAATTTGTGCCGCTAAGTAAGAGTCTTAGCGTGTCATTCTGTGGTGCACTGAGGAAAATGGTTTAATATCGAATAATAAATGTCAAAATGATGCATTCATTCAACCAATTCTAAATATCTCCAACTTTTCTTTAAAAAAATAAAAAAAAGGGGGGCGCAGCAGATAAAGAGTAACATGGAGATTTGACCAACCAACAAAACATACCTATAATCATCACATAACTCCATGATGGCTTCATGAGTGTTACAGTCTTTCAGCCGTCCTAGTCTTGTGTGAGGTAAGCTATCCAGTGTGCGCCACAGAACTTCATGTTTTACTCCTCCCACATTTATAGTAACCCTCTTGTTGAGGGCTCGACTCTTCATAATCATGAAGGGTTCGGGTGGCAGCGAAGATGTGGACCTCGACTGGCTGCGTCTCAGAGCTTGCTGAGGCATGCTGCCAGGTTGTGGAATAGTGCCTTGAATCATTGGTCCGTAAGGGAAAGGTGGAGGAGGAGGAGCAGCTTGGGACTGAGGTCCAGATGAACCAACTAGAGCCATTGGAGGTCCAGCATCTGTTCTGTTCTCCGTCTTTTCCAATCTGGTCATTTCAGGGGTAGCATATTGGCTATACCGATCCGGTTCCGCAGCAGGATCCAGTTCCTCCGCCACTTTGGAATTACGTGTTTCTTAGTATGTATTTCACAACAAAAGTAAATTTGGAGCTCGATTTAAAAGATGTCGATCCAGTGTGATACAGATTTGACATGCCATCTTATATCTCAGTGCGTAACACAAAAATGGAGAAAATATCTGAAAGAAAAACGTTCAGCTAAATAAAATTTTATAGTTCAAAATTCTCTTTAAGACACACAACTGTAAAACTTCACATTCATTATGCTTATTAAAATAGAATAATAGAAATTTTTAACTTTTAAAATTCATGCGATCTTATTACAATGGAAATATACTATTGATTTTTTTAAAAATAATAATAATATACTGAAATTTCCTTAGGCCATATTTTACATGCTTTTATATTACACATGTAGTCAATACAAAATTGAATACGGTATTTAATTAAAAGTCATTCCCGAATAAAGTATTTTTGATGATAAAACGCCTTTGAATTCGGTTCTGAAAAACAAATTTTCATTATATCATGCACGAACTATTCATAAAGCTCATGATCATCGTTGCGTTGTTTTTTTCATAAGACTTTAAAGCCTTCTACGAATTACACCTAAGTGAATTTCTATTCGTAGTATGGCTTCTACAAACATAGTTACATAGTATGGCTTCTAAAACATAGGAAAAGTATGATAACATTTTAAAAATACTTTGAGCAGGAATGCAGAAGAAAACATCCAGCTGAAATAATACATAAATATGGAAAAGCACTTTTAAATTTCAAATGATAAAAGTTTACCTTTTAAGATAAAGCGCGTGAATGCTGGGCAAGATCTTATGATTTTAAAAGAATTAAAATAATAGTTCCAGAGATCATTACAAAGCAAGTATAATATTTAAAATATCTGATGTAGACACCACGAACATCTTCTTTAAAAAATTGTAAAACGCAGGAAAAACCTAAGACACCAAATGCAGTTCAGTTAAAAACAGTATTAAAAAAATTAAAATTAAAGTTTCAACACAAAAACAAGCAATTCGGCCAACGGGCAGGAAATCCACATTTTCGGTGCGAAAAACTATAAAAGTTAATTTTCGGTCCTACTTGGTAAAAGAACACTGAATTTGGTGCACTAAGTTACTTAATTCACTATTCTACTAAGAGTTTCAAATGCAAATAAAGGGCAGCCTCGTTAAGCTTAGCACCGTTTAAAGGATTAAATTGTTGATAATTCTACAACTATTGCATGCAAATTAACTAAAGGCATAAAAACCGTAACCAGAACATTAGTACAACATAATTCAACCCTTTTTAAACCTAAAAATGCAAAATTCACCAACATATAAGAATAAAAATACTGAGCTCATCGAGCCGGGTAACAGGGTAGTAGTATATATATATTATATGTATATATTTGATGCTGCCGATTGCAGTGGAAAAGTGCACAACTAGATGCTACAGCGGAGCCATATACAAAATTTCAACTTTCTACGGCTATTTGTTTCTGAGTTATGCGAGATACATACGTATGTCACGAAAAAAAAAAAAAAAATCGTTCAAATGGATTCAAGAAAGTCAAAATGGATATTTCCGCTGAAAGTTGACAACCGAAATTTTTTTCAATTACAGTATCTCCTTTACCTACTTTACTTCTTTACAAGGAAGTAAAAATTATAGGTTTAGTTAAGATTATTTTCTAGAGAGCGCAAAGATTTGCTTCGACCAAGAGTCGAAATCGCAGCCTACAACATCCCTTCGAAGTCGTTGAACACTTCCTGTATTTTGCTTGAATTTCACGCAGAGATCTTTTTTGTACGTCAAAGACATTTATTTTTCAGTTTCCTTTTCAGTCGTCCCTTTCAATGCGATATCTATTATTAGTGGAAATGTAATAATATAAAAATGAGAAGTTATTTTAATTAGACAAACCGCAATATAATATCAAATGAATTTATCAAAAATTATCTGACAAATTTTTTATTTTCAGTTCATGTATCCATGCACCCGTGTCTGTATCCGTATACCCGCGTTTGCATCCAAGTCCTTATACCCGCCTTTGGATATTATGTAGATATATGGGCTTTTAATAAGAAAATAAAATTTTAAAAGCTAAAATGCAGTCTTTAAAGTATACAACTGCTGTTTATTAGAATGTTTTAGAACCTTTTAAAACAAGTTTAACTACTTTTAGATATCCCGCACAGATGGAAATTAATGCCCTACATGTGGAAATTAATCCACAGAAGCCAGGAGTTACTAAATAAAAAGCTATTGTCTTTCGATGCCCCCCCCTCAAAAAAATGAAATAAAATTGTCTTTAGACACCACAGTTTTTATAAATAAAGATAAAAAAGATTTAGGTAGTAGATTTAGATTTAGACTTTTTCTAGAATTCGAAGAATTTTCTGTGGTATATTTAACAAGTGATAGTTTAAAAACTAGTATAAAGCTTAATATACAATTAATGTGTTCTGTACCAGTTTTATATTTTAAAAATAATAAATGATAAAATAACATGCACGAGTATTTACTTTGGAATAATACACTAGAAGAAACTAGCGAAGCGGCGTTACTATAATTTATTTAGAAAGTCCCCTATGAAGGCACGATCCCTCCACCAACTACCGTATTTGACGGCATATAAGACGCACTGTTTTTCCTAAATTTGGTCTCAAAAAAGTTACCTGCGTCTTATACGTGTAATTGCATTCAATAATTGTTTATTTGGCTTTTACGAAACGTGATAACTAAAAGAAACCACGCTATTGAAACTTTTTTTCCTTGTGTGTGGCCGTCTAAATAAGGGTGCGTCTTATATGCCGTCAAATACGGTAATTAATTTTCACGTGCTTTGCCTTGACACGTTCGCTGACGAGCAACATTTTCATATACGGTTCCACCACTCCAACAGATTTTTTAATTAATTGTAAAATAAAAACATACATTTGCGGGAAAGGTATTGAATTTGATAATTTTGTATTGCTTTATTAATTATAGCAGCTATATTGTAGTCGGTTTTTGCAAAAACATGTTTTATGACAGCGCCAATTCCGAGTATATTCGTAGTTGGTGGTTGCTTAAAACAAAGATTGATTATTTACTTCATAATTATTAATAATATACTTATATTAATTATAATGAATCTCTTGAATTACGCCAAACTTTTCTGGGTTCTTTTAAATCCCCAAACCCAAATACCTTCAAAGAACATGAAAATACTACGAGTTTTGATCGTGTGTAGGCGTAGGTAAAACAGAAATATTCTACGAAGTAACTCGTAGCCGGCGTCTAAACAAAAACTTCGACCAACGAGATAACGCGTGGTTGGCAGCGAACGTGTTAATTGACCAATCAATAAACTAGTAAAAATACTTTACTGCCTTCAACTTAGATACAGTAAAAGTCAAGTACTTGATAAATATCAAATGAACATAAAAGGCATCTTTTTCAGAAACCAGTAATTTAGTTTCATAAATTTTGGAAAATCTAAAACGTTATTTAAAATTTTCTGCAGTGGTGCTTAATTCAGAAACAGGAGAAAGTTTTAGTAGAATAAAGAATACATATCTTTATATTCGCAGAGAAACTGTGCTTGAAAATGAGGAAATACTTTACTGTATCCTGAAATGCACTTAGTTTTTCTTCGTTATTAGCATAAAAGATGAATTTTTTACAATTTTTTTAACAGTCAGGTTAGTGTGTTTCTCTAAAATCTACTATTACATATATTTATAACTGCGATTTAGATGAAAAATCAAATAATAATAATAATAATAATAATAATAATAATGTCTTATTTCATGCATAGGCTTTCAAACAGAGATTTAATTAACTGACATAAATATTCATAAATTAAAATAAAGCAACATTTGAAAACAAATTTTGAGTTATTGCGACTACATAAAACTGTCCTGAAAAGTAAATAGTTCTAAAATGCTCCTTAGTTTATTGCAGTTTAATTTCTAAACAGCTCAAATTTTACGCCAGATTTACTTAAAAGTAGAAGAACGTTTCAAATATTTCCATCTCCTGTAGTAAATATTTTTAACGTCAATAGGAAACGCTTTATCTTAGAAAATCCTCCAGAAATGGATCTCCCGACCTAGGTAGTTAGCTTATTTTACCAAAATCTAATAAAACAAAATTCACAGCAAAATTATTGACGCGTTATCTTCAAAGGAAGAAAATTAAACGTCCTTCCATTCAGCAATAATGAAATAGGAAGCAAAGATACTAGCATTCAATTTCCACAGAAGCCAAGCAAATCTGAACACAATAGCTATAGGAAACGACTTCTAATTCCTTTTCTGAAACTATTGCAATAATTCCAAACTACATTTCTGCTTACCAGCAATTAAATATTCTGAGCGTTCGTTATTATTTCCTGGTCACAAAGCCTTACTGTATCTCGAAACCTCGAAACTTTTATTACAGGAAGTCATAAAAATTCCAAAAATTAATTTTCGAGTGAGTCAAGACATGTTCACATTCAAATAATTTCGCTGCTTGTATACATTTGAATTTCTTAACTAGAAACATAGCTCGATTTATGACAGTTTGGAATATTGTATGGATGTTGCCAAAATCTACATATGAATAGTTCCGAATCAACAAAATAATTTCCTACAAGGTCAACAATTTTCTTATGAATTGCGCGTCTAAAATATAACGCCAGTAACATCTGCAATCCAAAATTAAAAAAAAGCCTTAATTAAAGAAATATTGAAATTTTCCTATAGGCAAAAGTTTAATTTTCGGAAAGGAAATAAAAAATTTGGATTTTGTTAACATTAAAAAACACTTTTTAAAAGTGCACATACCTAAGTTAAATGTATAATAAATAAGTTAATGCATGTACAAAATGCACAAGTGATTTTCATTTATATATTCATGCATACATACGAGCGTATGTCATTTACTTACCATTTGTACTGAATTTCATACTTTTCATTTAGATTTTAGCTTTTCATTACACAACATGGCGATGTAAATGCATAAAAATATCATAAAATTGCACTAACTATAAAAAGAAGCTCCGTTATTTAATAGTAATGCACAGAATTTTTTATGCTCAGTAAATATTTCATTGGGCTACACTGTCAACCTAATAATTCAATACATTTTCAATACAACAATTTTATTTATTTCCATTCATTCGCTTTATAATAAAGGAAAACGGCAC